TTTAAGCTACAGTTTATTTTCATTTGGAAGGACGAAAACCGGAAAAACATGACCCCTATGATGCGATCTGTGGCCTCGTAAAACTCTGCTGATAAGACACTCGCCGCTGGCAATGATAATAAAATTATAAGTCACCCCACTCACACACATATGTGTGTGTCGTGGGATCCTGGGTTTTCCCGCTTTCCACTCTCTCTCTCTCTCTCTCTCTCTCTCTCTCTAAAGTGCGCTAATCAGCATTTAAAATTAACTAAATGCCCGCCTCTTAAGCCAAACTTGATGAGTTTGGCCCTTGGTCCCGCCTGTCTTCTCGTCTTTTCCTTTGGGGCTGTAAAACCAGGTTATATAACATGCTTTATAGTCGAGATGTTGGGCCGTTAAGTGAACAGAAGATGCGTTTTTCATGTAACTGCAAATGGTGGAGACCAGAACTGGAAATGGGTTGGAAGCCGGGGCATGTGTTAACTCGAGATGGGGGCCATAACATTTGAGTGTGTGCCAAGTGACATTTGATTGCTCTAGTTCTAGTACTCAGTTCCAGGCTGAGTTGGAAAACTTGTGTGGCTGGGCAAGTGCTAAGCTTCTGGCATTTTAATGTTCCTTAATTGACATAAACAGTTTGGACTTGGATAATTGCCATTTGAAATCAATAAGTGGGATTTTTAGTTAATGGTCTTCAGGGGTTTTTAATTTGGGGAATTATTATTAAGCAAACCTGAAGCTAAATAAACTTTACTTTCTTTTCTAGTTTGAATTATTTTGAGGTGTGTTTTATCATTATTCTTTATAGCTATAATATCATGTATAGTCTCTTGGTTTAGAATTTCTTTTATATTTTATTAAATAATAAAACAAGTCATGAATTTTTTTGTTTTTTTTTTAAATGTAAAATATGTTTACTTTATCTCAGTAAAACTAACGAAATTTTAACATATTTTGGTGACTATTTAATCAAAGTTAAAGGGATTTATATTATACAAAAATCAATGATTTTAAGAGTTATTTGGTTTATAAAGAAGTATATTACGTTCAAGTTATTTATTTGAAGTAATATTCTTATAACCTTTACTTAAACTGTTTCTTTTACTAAGATATTGATTACTTAAGACAATTTTAATAATTTCATTTTAATTTGATTTGTTTCCTAGTTAAGTTTTGTGTGACTATTTTTGTCACTTAGTAAAGTAATTAATTAATTAATATATTTAATCATTTCGTATTCCTTTTACTTTTTTTATCAGTAGGTATTTCTTTAAGTACCTATTTTAGTCTTTAGATGTATATTAATAATGACAAATTTAATCGTTTTCTTTTCATTTCAATTGTTTCTCATAGGTTTTATATTGAAACACACAAAATATAAAATATTTGACATGTTAGTACCCTTATTTAATAGCTTATTATTAGTATAATATTAAAAAGCTTATTTAGAAATTATAAAAACATAACTTCTTCTCCTCCTAAACCTAGCTAACTTCATATTGGTACTATATTCCCTTTTTAGTTATATTTTACAAATTCAATTCCTTACTATATTCCCTTTAAGTTTTATCATTCTTTTCCTCAATTTACCTTATTCTGGTAACACTTTAAGAGCCATTATCATATGGCACCCTCCGGTTTTAATTGATGCCCAACTTGGAGAGTGCGTGCCAGGCACACTCACACACACACATCTACAAAGGACACCCCACAAAAAGGACGCTTACTTCCGCCATTTTCTATGATGAATTGCTACTTTGGCTCAACACACACACCCAAACACACACACCCTGGAGCTCTCCGAAGAGATGATGCGCAGACAGGAGAAAAGTAGAAGCGAGATGAGCTGAGTACATATCCAGGCAAAGCTAGGAACTAGGAGGGGAAAAAAAACAAGCAGGAACAGGACCTCGCATAGATACACATTTATCCAGCTGTCAGCGGGACGAAAAAAGGAGTGCAGCCACTGGGTTTTCCCCTTTCCCACCCACGACTTTTCCACGGACAGGTGAGACCGAAACACTCGGAAACACGGGAAGTGCACTTTCCGGGACTCCAGGACTATGGGACACAGGACACACACACACACACATTGGGGTGCTTTTGCGCTTATTTATGTCTGGCAATCATAAAGCGTCGAAAAGAGAGCGCGATATAGGGGGAGAGAGAGAGAGAGAAAGAGTGAGCAGGCGACTGCAGGTTATGGCCTTCTATAACTCAGAACTCAGAGCTCGCAGGACTCACTAGGACTCGCAGGGACTCTTGCCGCCTCTTTCTGACCCATGTCCCGAGTCCACTTTCGTTGGCTGCCACTGCTACTGCTGCTGCTGCTGATGTATTCCATACAAATTGCAGGTTTTAGTGTTTTTATTTTCGCCCTCCAAAAACCAGGGGGTGAAATGTCCTTTCGTCCTGGATGCCTGGACTGGGAAGGGGGTTGGGAAATGGGAGCTGGGAGGTGGCTGGGCAAAGTGGGCGAATGGGCAGGCGCATCATCCATCAATGGCATTTGCGGCAAGGACAGCGGCGAATACTCTCGGTGAGTGCTCCTGACGTTTTTGTGTCGCAGACACAACAACACTAAAAAAAAGGGGGGCAGGGGCTGGTTCAAGGATCTGGATCTGGCTAGCATCCCTTTTTATTATTTTTTTGATTCGGTGGAGTCATGCGGCGAAATTTGTACTATTTTTATTGTCACAAAAGAGAGATATTATAATCAAATCGGAATCGAAATACGTTTATATAAAGATTTGAAGCAAATGCCATTATAAGAATAATCTTTAAAATTTTTTTAATAGAAAAATCGTTTAAGAATGGGCTATAATTTATTGTCTTTGCCTTAAATTATACCCCTTTTTGAGTGTCAATTATAACTGACCTAATAAGATAAGGTTATTTATATCTAAGCCTAATTTTTGGGGAATTAGTAAAGGTATTTATTGTTGTGAATCGATATTGTGTTCTGTTACTGTAGAGTAGTAACTTTTACAATAGTGTGGAAATATAAATGCCTCAACCATATATTTTTATTTAAAAGAACATATACATGTTAAAGCTAAGAAAATGAAATAATTCATTAAAAGAAGTTAAAGTATTAATAATTAAAACTAGCTAGAACGATATCTTATAGGTAAAACTTTCTTGAACTAAGATAAACAAGATATCTTATAGATTTAAGTACCCAAAACTAAAAGTAAATATTAAATAATTTCTAATTCATCTTTTTTATACTAAATAACAGATATTTTAGAAAAATCTCAACGTCTGCTCTTTACCAACCCCACATAATAACCTTTAACAAATTCCAAAACATAACTTTCTCCGGTTTTTGAAGCGCTTTTCATTCTCTTTTTTCCCCTGGCCTCCCCCTTTCTATTACTCTCCTAACCCCTCTTTGCCTATTCTTTCTATTTGTAAAATAATAACATAAAATATGGCTGGCCTTGAACAATTTACTTTTATTTTATTTTTATTGCCCAGGCAGCAGCCCAGCCTCTGTGGCAGCTCTCTCTCTCCTTCAACATGTGTCCGTCCTACACTTCCTGTGACTGCTATGTGTGTGTGTGTGTGCATTGTTGTTGCGCCTCGCTTTTAGCTTCATTAAATTTATGTTGCAGCAGCACCCGAAGCTGCCCCCGCAGCCAGACGCTTTACACCGAAATATCCTGGAAATATCCTGGGCCTAGTTGCACGTGCCGCGTGGCCGTAAAACAGATCGTAAAAGTTTATTACTTGCGGCTTTTGTTACTGTGTGTGTTGTGCTGTGTGTGTGTGTGTGTGTGTGTTTGTTGTTGTGTTTGAACCGCCGTCGCTGTCAGCTGTCAAATTGAATTTGTTTATATTGCCAACACTCACACACAGAGAGCTCGCCGCTCCAACAGGTTTCATTTTCACTCCCAGGAAGCCGGAAATCATTGCGTCATGCTGATATTTTGTATTTTAACACGCCTAAAACCCCCTCACCCTCCCCGGCCCCCTATGCTATATTGGCCACGCCCCTTTTTTTTGCCGGCGCTGTCATCCTCAGGCTTTTGTGTGTTGTTTAAGGCCGCCCCCGAAAGTCGATTTTTGTGTGTTGGTTTAGGTCAGTTTAGTTAGCTGCCTTTGACAGCTCAAAGTCGAGGTCAACTTTTGTATGCCCATCATCAGCTGTCTCGCTCTCTGTCTCTCTATGTGTGTGTGTGTGTGTGCCACTCTGTCTGTGTCTGTGTGAAGGATATTTATGGGTCCGCCGGTCGAGAGACGCGAGCGACGCGTCCTTGTCAGTTGCCAAAAACATAAAAAATCGATTTTATTATAGCCGTCAGTCTGGGCCCCGTCGTCTATATAGATTTTCTGTCACTGTGTTTTTCAGATATTGCCTCTCTGTCTGTCTGTTGTTCACCTCTCTTTCTGTGTGTGTGTGTGACGGGCTTAAATTTGCTGGCTTAGTTTAGTTTAGTGAAAGGTTTTAAATTTCACGGAGCTACAACAGTGCGTATACGTAATGAGAGCGATTTAAGGGGTTTTTTTTTCGTGATAAGAAACAAAGTTGGATCTAATAAATAGATAGGAGAATTTGAAAAGAATATAAGAAATATATACAATTATATATTTATAACATTTTCTGAACTTAAATGATTTTAAAACAATTGTCTAAAAAGTTATCCCTTATTATACGAGCATTATTTTATAGATTTCCCTAATAAATGATGCAATAATTAAGGTCACAACATAAGTATATTGAATTTAAGCCCTAACAACCCAAGATATGATAAGAAACCTTTGAATTTCATCAGTTTTTCATTCATTACCAATAAGTTAAGCCCCTGAAATAAGTACAAAAAATAAGACCAAAACAAAAACCAAAATAAACATAAACAAAATCTAATCAAATATTCACCCGCTCAGCAGAGAGAGAGAAGAAAAAGAGCGAGAAAAGCTTTGGTAAAGCTCTCTAAACACATATTAATAGAAAACGAAAAAAAAAAGTTTACTAATCAAAAGTTGTAGAAAATAATATTAAGTCAGTCTGCAAAATGTTGTCGAGGCAGTGGAACGCAAATAAACAAATCGCCAGGCAGGTCTACAACCTCCAAAGAGGTTTGGCCAATAAGGTAAATATTCCACAAAGTAAATCATATTAAATATACAAGTTCTTAAATATATATTTACTAGACCTCATCGATGAACTTGGAAGAGGCCAAACCTTATGCTGATATTCCGGGTCCCAGCAAAATGCAATTAATAAGAGCTTTTCTACCGGGCGGTAAGTGAGGGAAGCCAAAGCTTTCCAGTCTTTGCACTCTCTTAAAATAATCTCTTTGGAGAATTGCAGATCTCTTAATATAATCATAATCTATATAATATATATAACATAATATTCCCTTTTAGGTCGCTATAAAGACTTGCCTGTCAATGAAATGTTTCTTGATATGAACCGACAATATGGCAGTATCTTTCGAATGCCCAGCATAGCTGGCACTGATATGGTTCTGACCATGAATCCCAAGGATTATGAGATCATTTTCCGCAATGAGGGACAGTATCCACACAGAAGAAGCTTCGAGGTAATGGATTATTTCAAGAAAGTACACAGACGTGAGGTTTTCGATGGCTACGATGGCTTGACTTCGGGGTGAGTTGTGTAAAATGTATTATTTTTAATTATTTTATAATAATTTGTTACTTTAGCAACGGTCCATCTTGGGGTAAAATGCGTACAGCTGTGAATCCCATACTTTTGCAGCCCCGCAATGCCAAACTTTATATGAAAAACTTGCTGCAGGTCAGCGATGAGTTTCTAGAGCGGTAAGTTTAAGGAACTACAATCTCTGGAAATAACTCTAAACTCTAAATTGTATTCTATAGCATTCGCTCTATTCGTGATCCCGTGAGCCAGGAAATGCCAGATGATTTTGCCATGGATATTCGCCATTTGGTGGTAGAATCTATTTGCTCTGTGGCCCTCAACACTCATCTGGGAATTCTAGGGGAAAATCGAGAAAATCAGGAAGTTAAGCAACTCATTACAGCTCTTCAAGATGTGGTTGAACTAGGCTTCCAGTTGGACATGATGCCTGCCTTTTGGAAATATCTGCCCATGCCGAACTTTAAGAAACTTATGCGTTCTTTGGATTTGATAACAGACTTTTGCATTTTCCACATTGAAGATGCATTGAAACGAATTGAAGATGATGCCAAGGCGGGAAAACTCACAGAGTTGGGTCTAGAGACCAGTTTACTGGAAAAGTTAGCACGTTTTGATCGTCAAACAGCTGTGATTATAGCCATGGATTTGCTATTTGCAGGAGCAGATCCGGTGAGTTATTATATTAAAATTATATAAAAGATTATTAATAATATATTGTAATAATTTCAGACCCTGGTTTCTCTTAGCGGCACCCTTTTGAGTCTGGCCAAGAATCCCGACAAGCAAGCTCGACTTCTGGAGGAGATTAAGGGAATACTTCCTGAGAAGAACTCCCCTCTTACCATGGAGAACATGAATAATCTTCCCTATCTGAGGGCCTGCATCAAGGAGGGCATTCGTATGTATCCCATTGGTCCGGGTACCCTACGTCGCATGCCCCACGATGTGGTACTTAGCGGTTATAGAGTCGTGGCTGGAACGGATGTGGGCATGGCCTCCAATTATCAAATGGCCAATATGGAGGAGTTTGTGCCGAATGTACGTCAATTCATACCCGAACGTTGGCTAAGGGATGAATCCAATTCGAACTCTCACCTAATTGGGGCCACGGCCACGCCTTTTATGTACCTGCCTTTTGGTTTCGGGCCAAGAGCCTGTGCCGGCAAAAGGATCGTGGATATGATGATGGAAATAGCCATTGCCCGGCTGGTAAGGAACTTCCAGATCGGTTTCGAATATCCCATTGAACATGCCTTCAAGGCAAGGTTCTTTGTTCAACCCAATATTCCCTTTAAGTTCAAGTTTGTGGATCGCAGCGATTGATAACCTTAGACTTTTAAAGGAAATAATATTACTCAGGGAAGAAAAATTGTATAACCTGTATTACTAAAATAAAACCTATATTTCTCACCACAAAAGTATTTCTTAAATTTCAAAGGGAAAATTGAAACTTGTCTTACAATCATGTTATTTTGTTTACTTTAACTGAACTCCTCTTAACTGTGAGGCTAAAGACTTTCGAGTGCTTCTGGTCACATACACATGTCCTGGCAGCTGGAGTGTCCTCTTGAGCTCAGTACAGCCACCAACATCCACTTGAGGGTACATTTCTTTATGACTTTTCCCCCCAAAAATAACGTTGGCATTTTCCGGCATCTGAAGAGGATGCTTGACAGGGAAGACGATACAGGACAAATACTTGCAGATGTTTATATAGAGTCTTGAGAAGTTAAGAAAATCCTTGAGTTTGAAGGTATTTCAATCGGGATTTGTATTGTAAAATATAACTTCTATATATAATACATAAAGATGTGAGTAAGATTACAATATTTTTTAAATATTTTTCAATAGAAAAGGACATGTCTTTGTCTCACTAAGGCTAAGGAAAAGTAAAACAAGCCACCTTTAACACTAAATTTACCTTATTTAATTATGTTTAATATAGTAGGTAGTAATAATATGTTTTAAAGACTAATATATTATTAAAAAAAAAACCAAAGTCAACCTCAAACGATCTTCATTATAAACTAAGCCCGAAAGTATGCTCTATGTTTGAAACAATATCTGAAGATCACTCAATGGCGCCATCTATATCTGATATATATGATATTAATTCATTAGATTAAGGAAGTAAAGTATATATTTAAAATGAATTGAAGACTCTGTGAATTTAAATATTTGATACAAGATATTTTATTGTTAGATACAAGTCTATTCCCTCGCTTCATTTGTACTTTAAGCTTTAACTGTGGACAGCCCTCACTCACGGAGGACACTTCCTTTTTGTCCCTAACCCATTTTTCTCCACAGCATTCCTTCGTCCTTCGTTATCGCTTGTAGCTGGACAAAACAAATGCGCCGACATAAATAATGCAAAAGTATTCATTTTGACATCGAATAGACAAAGTTGCATTGAATTTTCATGTTTGTTCTTCTTCCGTTGGTCCTGGTTCCCTGGCTCCTTTTTTTCTTATTTCTTTCACTTACTTGTGCCGGTCTTATCGGCCATCCTAGTCCTCCTTCCTCCCTCCCCGAGTGGAGGACTTCTGCTCGTATGTCCTGGATTTTATGCTGCAGACCGGACTCACTCGTTGGCCGTCGTCTTGTGCATTATTAAAACTATTCTGATGGCGCTTCCGAGGATGGGGTCCACTTGAAATGTCAATGCTGGGCCCCGCAGATCCTGGCTCCTTTGCCTGCCTCCTCCCCTTCCTGATTTCCCTCTACTCACTCCTCTTTCTTTGCTCATTGCTCCTGTTTCGAGTGCATAAAGTTTTATCGGGGAGGCGAAATACTTTACCCCGCTGCTCCTGCTGTGTCACGTTTCCTTGGCAAGGACTCGCAACTTTTGCCCCGGGACGAAATGCATTTGCAATTGCATAAATGAACAGCAAAGAGGGAGGAGCAGGAGCAGGACCCGGAGCAGGAGCAGGGCTGTAGGAGGTGCACAGACGAAACGAATGGAATTCATTATTGGCCAGGAGTTGTCCTGCGCCAAAGGTGGAGGTGGGGCGTGGCCGAGGTGCTGGCCTTTAAATTGAAAATGCATGTCAAGTATCGGCTGCACACACAAATCACAGTTTCAGCGCGCATTTCGCAATTTTCGTAGCTCAATTCGAAAGGGGGATAGAGAGGGGCGGGTGTATTTGCACTTTATGACATGGCACCACCCCCACCTCCCTCTCTGCCCCAAGCCATAAAGTGAGCAATTAGACAATGTCCCAGCCTTCCCCAACTCCTGTAGGCCTTCCTGTATCCTGCATCTTGGCAATTGGAATTTTGGCTTTTCGCATTGAACTTTGACTTGCCATCAACATTCAAGTGCACAATGAGAAAATTGGGTATCATTTTCTTAAATAAATGTAAAGTTAAGATTAATGAAAGGGTTACATATAGTAATCCTTTAAAGAGAACCCTTTTTTCACACCCTAAAGATAATCAAAAAGTTTCTTGGAAGTATCCTTTTGAAGGAATGAATATCTTTTCTTTTCATGACTTTAAAATACTTATTTATAGAGTCAAGCTTTAAGATCTCATTATTTAATATTTTGTAGCAGTGCCTAAATATGGTCCTGGGGTTGCTCATGTCCTTCTCTGCCGCCTCCTTGTGGCACATCTTGTCACATGACATGATGGCCGTCCATTGCCGAGCTGCCAATTTGCAACAGCACGGGCGTGGCAAACGGACCACGTCTAATGATGGCATACATAACCTGGCTACCCCGAATGCCTCCGCCTCCGCCTCCGCCTCTGACTTGGCACACGCCCACGCCAGGTCCTGGACCTACGCCTGGTCCTGCTCCTGCTCCTGCTTCTGGTCCTGCTTCTGGTCCTGGTCCTTTGGCAAGTGTCATGTCACACGACGCACTCGGCTCGGCTGGCTTGTCAATTTCGCAGCTGGGCGTGGCCCGGAATCCTGCCTTGAGCCCCAGTGGCAGGCATTAGCATGTTCCAGCAAGCAGAGTTTAAAGCAAAAGAAAAAAAAAAAAGTATCAACATTGCAGGACAGTCGTCCTTTCCTCCTTTCCTTGCCCGACTTGCCACCACCCCTCCGAGGATGGCGACCCGCCCTGACAGGCGTCCATGATTAATGGTTGTCAATGGCATTCCGCTTGGATCGGATCGGGCTTGGGTTTGGGTTTGGGCTGGGGACTTGGTTTTTGGGCTTGACTTGGCCTGCATGCGGAAAGTAATTTTGTTATTTTAAGAAAAGCCCTCGCAGGCTCTAAGGATTCTGGTTTGCAGGAAATTGATTCACCTCCCCGGGTTTTTTTTTTTTTATTCCAGACCGCTGCCGCAGGAATTCCCCAACAAAGTCGCAATTTCGCAACCTTTTGCGCCCCGCGATGTACGAAAATACAGGATGCAGGATACGGGGGGCTAGATGGTGTTAATGGCATTGGAAATTCGCGTGCATGGGGGGGTGCGTGGTAGAAAAAATTTAATTTATTATTTCGAAAAGCAAAGCATTTCTAATCGAATTGTATTTCAAATATGCGTTGCATGGGAAATTGAAAAATTGCTTCCCAATTTGGGTGGATTTCCTATCCTCTTCAGGGGGGGAAAAATTTGAATTGTTTGGCTTTCGGTGAGGGAAATTTTGGTGTGGGGGTTGCATAATGCTTATCAGATTGTTTGGCATTAATGATGTCTGAGGAGGAGGAAAAAGGAAGCCAGGGGCATTGAAACGATACATTGATGAACAGGCACTTAAGGAAAATGAATTAAGTGATAGCATAAAAGAAGTACTGACTAGTATCAGTTACTCGTTAACATATTTGTAAATGTATTAAGTTATTTGGTAGATTCTTTAACAAAACATATAATTAGATAATGGAGAAAATAAATACTATTATTTTTAGAAGAATAATAAAAGAGGAAATTTGATAGAATAAATCATTTAAGTATTTAAGCATGTTTTTATAACTTTGCAAACTGAAGGAATCATTTCCGACCCTATAAACCAAATATATTCTTGATCAACATCAACAGCCGGATCGATCTAGGTATCTTCGGCAGAAAAAAAAGTTTCAAAAATTTTTCAAATTTTTTTACATCGTAAATATTAAAAAAAAATCATAAAAATTTGAATTTTTTTACGTTTTGCATTGAGTACGCAGATTTATTAGCATAATAAAAACTAGCATAGGAAAGCTTTCCGAATTAAAATTAAGGCATTTTTGGCAGAGTTATGACATTTTTAAACTTTGATTTGTCGAAAAAATTTACATATTCAAATGATTGATTTAAAGAATGCAAATATTTTAAGTTTATTCATAACAGATTTCCGATTCGATTCGATTACTTACTGCAGGGGCATATAAGTTTCAGCTTTCTAAAGTTATTTTCCTTTATTGATTATATTTAAAACAAAAACAAATTAAATATAACATGTAACTAAGCACAGATAATGTTATGTATTTTCTTCCTGTTTTACTACTGGTTTTAGGACATTTTAAATATGTATGTATTTTCATTATTAATCAATGAATTATGGTTATGGATATCTATATGTAATAATTACAAACAGGAATATATTCTGTAATATGTTCTATAAAAATTATATTAATATTAAATTACTTTTATTTATGGTCAATATAAGCTTATCTTGCTTGACCAAAAAAGGCCTAAGGCAACATAATTTAAAGTTAAATTTGAACAAAAAATTACAGAAAATCCTTCAATGCTTTTTGTAGAACTTTTACCCACCATTTATTACCCCTATTTTTTATTTTTTCCCCCTTTTTCTAATGGCTTAAGTGTTAACTCTTTAAGCTGCTCCCCTTAAAGAGCCCGCAGATTCCTGATACTGGTGCTCCTGCTTCTGTCTCTCCAGCCTCATCTCTTGTGTGTATATATTTTTATTAATTTTCCAAATGAATTCCTGACAACGACAAAAAGACACACAGCGACAACGATGACAACAGCAGCGCCAGAAAAGAGCAAGTTATCCTGGACGCCGAAGGATAACAAAAACAACAAAAAATGGGGGCAGCCATTGTCGGCCAGTGGCAGCCCGCTGCTGTTTTCCCCCTTTTTTTCTGCGATTTTATATATATATTTTGTTTTCTTTTTTTATTTTTTGGTAACTGTTGGCGACATTATTACGTTACTTACTTTACGCCATAAATGTTGTTACGTCATGGCAACCAACACTCGCCCCGCACATGTGCGTTGCTAAAAAAAGAAAAGAGGACAAAACAATGAAATGCGAAGGGGCGAAGGGGCAGGATGCGATGGCTGCCATCATTGTTATGTGAATGTGACGACTTTTTGACTTCCGCCACGCTGATGTGTTTCCGTTTCCTGTTTTATGCACAACTTTCGTCCGTCTTTCGGCTCGGCATCCTTTTTGTGCTTTGTGTTTCTTCATTTTTAAAAATGCTTGCCGCTGATGAAATGTAG